AGGAGGTTTCGGTGATTCAAACCACATAAATCTTGAATACATCCTTAGGCTCTCATTTTCTGTGGAGACGAAAACAGAACCTCTTTTCCAAAACATCATATCCTTAGGCCCATATTTTAAATTCAAAATATCTTTTTTAGCAGTTCCTAAATTCAAATATCTTTCTCCTGTCCAGTACACAAAAGACAACACAAACAACATAACATACATCTGTACATATTTACATTAACCCTGCTTTTGTAGCAGTCATACTAACACCACTCTTGTGGTCATTAAACCCCACTTTTGTCCATGGCCAATTGGTACCCAAGGTAAGAATATGGGACTTGCATTTGGACCTTCTCAGGAGCTGTGATCAGCCCCACCTTCTCTAAATCCTGTTGCATTTGAGTACAAGCCTTGAGCAGTTGATCAATAGCAGGTCCTGCTACTAATAAATCATCCATATAATGAACAATATATAATTGTAGGAACTGACAGCAGTCAGGCTCCAAGGTAGTCGCAACATAAGCTTGACATATGGTAAGACTATTTGCCATTCCCTGTGGGAGTATGATCTAAAGGAATTGCAAAGCTGGTTCCTTAAAATTAACTGAAGGGATGCTAAAAGCAAAACGAGGGCAATCCTCTTTGCCTAGAGGAATAGTAATTATATGCCAGCCCTGGGGTATGGCTGAAGGGAAGGGCAATCCCTGCTGAAGAGGACCACAGGCTGCATCACCTCATTGATAGCCCAAAGGTACTGTAATAGTCTCCATCTTCCAGATTTTTCCAAGTTATAGGAATTGGGGCAATGTAGAAGGAGCTTGCTTTTCGTCCTGCCCAGTTCCCACACGGCTAGCTTAGCCCCGAAAATAACAACATACAAATTGTATCCATTTAAACACTGCCTGGCCCATTATCTCTAGAGAGTTAGTTGCTGACTAACTTTCACATCTTGATTAACCCACTTCTAATAATCTGTGTAGCTTACCGGAAAAGATTCAGCATGTCTGACCTGGTGGCTGGCTCCATGGCGTCTGTCTCATTGCCCTCTTCCCAGCATTCTGTTCTGTTTACTCCGCCTACCTAATTTTCTGTCCTATTAAAGGGCCAAGGCAATCTCTTTATTAACCAATGAAAATAACACATAGACAGAAGGCTCACCTACATCAGGGCAGGCTTAGGAACAGTGACCCTAACTAACAATGGCCTAGACCACTTTGGTCTCCCATAGGTCTGGTAATTTGTTCATCTGGTGTCACTGGCTGCAACCAGCCCTGCAGATTTTTTCTCAGGCCCTGCCCTGGTCTCCATCCCAGTTGCTGCATAATTTGGGCCGCTGGTGGTGGTGGTGTGGGCTGAGAGGTCAAGGCAGCTTCAATCTCACTCAGGACATCTCTTTCCCAGAGATTAATGGGTAGTCCTGGGAGGACATATGGCTGAAAGTAACCCTCATGGCTTTCATTATCCTGTCATTTTAATATTTTTGCACTCTTCTTGGGACTTACTTGACCTATCCCTTGTAGGGCGGCAGTACTACTTTCTAATGGCCACTTCTTAGGCCAGGATTGTAAGGACAGGACAAAGATGTCAGCTCCAGAGTCTAAAATCTCATTAAATGACTTCCCATCAATAATCAATTCTAGGGGCTGGAGAGATGGCTCAGTGGTTAAGAGCATTGCCTGCTCTTCCAGAGGTCCTGAGTTCAATTCCCAGCAACCATATGGTGGCTCACAACCATCTGTAATGAGATTTGGCACCCTCTTCTGGTGTGCGGGCATATATGCAGGCAGAATGTTGTATACATAATAAATAAATAAGTAAATCTTTAAAAAAAATAATCAATTCTAATTGTGGCCCTTTTTTTCATATGAGTTACCCAAAAGGCTGCAGTGCTGGATGACCCAAAACCCTTAGTACCCCGACTGGACCTGTCCTCAAGGGACCCAACACCAATATTGGTGAGTAGACACTGGTAGATCCCAAGGACTGGCAAGCCAACCTTGCACAAAGGGTTAATTCCAGGTTCAGCCAGAGATCCTGTCTCAAAAAATAAGGTAGAGGGCCTGGGAAGAACAGTGGCTAAGAGCACTGGTTGCTCTTCCAGAGGACCTGAGTTCAGTTCCCAGCACCCACAGCAGACAATGGTCTATAACTCCAGTCTTGGGATCTGACTCCCTCGTCTGTCCTTTGTGGGCACCAATCAGGTGCATGGTGCACAGACATACATGCAGGCAAAATATTCTTTTTTTTTAAAATAAGATTTATTTATTATGTATACAGTATTCTCGGTATTCTGTATGCATGTATGCCTGCAGGGCAGAAGAGGGCACCAGATCTCATTAGAGATGGTTGTGAGCCACCATGTGGTTGCTGGGAACTGAACTCAGAACCTTTGGAAGAGCAGGCAGTGCTCTTAACCTCTGAGCTATCTCTCCAGACCCCAGGCAAAATATTCTTAAGAATAAATCTTTTAAAAATATGGTGGATAGCAATGGAGGATGACTTCCAATGTAACCTCTGTCCTCTACTTGCTCATAAATCTATGTGAGCACACTCATGTGTATACCAGGAGGGAGGAAGGTGGTGATACTCAAAAGAAAAAGTGAGACACGATGGATTGGATCCAGACACCTAACAAACAAACAAAATGGCCATATCCAGTTCCATAAAAGGAAGCAGTGGAATTATACAGTATAAGCATTTGGGGGGGGGCAGTTAATCATGTTCCAAGTGTTAAGAAGATGCTTGTATCATTTCAAGCCAGCTTTTTCTTCTTTTTCTTCTTGTCTCATGGATTCCAGACTGACTTCAAACTTGCCTACTGTGCAACTAAAGATTACCTTGAACTTCTGATTCTCATCTCTACCTTCAGATTGCTGGGATTACAGGTATCTGCCACCATGACAGCTTTTATGTGATGGAGTTACAACTGAACCTAGGGATCTGTGCATCTTTAGGCAAGCACTCTATCAGCTGAGCTACTCCTCCAGCCTCTGTACTCTGCTTGTAGCAGTTTTTTTGGTAAACCTGTATGTGTGTGTGTGTTGCTAGGGAATACACGGTTGTACCACACGGTTAAACTATACCCAACATTAAGAATAATATTCTGTGTAGGTTTCTTTTTGAGATTGGGTGTTGCTCTGTAGACTAGGCATGAATTCACCACCCTCCTATGTTTACCTTCTGAGTACAGAAGTAGGTGTATGTCACCATACTTGGCTGCCTATTCTCTACCCAATCCCAGTCTTTTGAGACAGGGTTTCTGTAGGGTAGCCACATTTTTCCTTAAATTTGTAGCAATCCTCCTGCTACCCCTCAACATGACACCAGTAAATGTTGAGATTGCAGGCATGCACCACAATTCTCAACTCCATATTTTTCTTACCCTCCTCCTCTTCTCCTCTGCCTTCCTGAGTGCTGGGATTAGAGGGATGTACCACCATGCCCAGATCCATATTCTTTTCTTTTTTAAGATTTATTTTATTATGCATACAGTGTTCTGCCTGCATGTATGTCTGCGGGCCAGAAGAGGGCACCAGATCTCGTTACAGATGGCTGTGAGCCACTATATGATTGCTGTGAATTGAAATCAGGACCTCTGGAAGAGCAGCCAGTGCTTTTAACTACTGATCTATCTCTCCAGCCCCTCCCCCATTTAGATATAGATTTTTCCCCTAAGATTTATTTTTGAGTGTGTGTGTTCATGTTTGTATGTGGATTTGCATGTGGTTGTCAGAAGAGGGTGTCAGATCCTTTGGGGGCTGAGGTAATGGGAGGTTGTGAGCCACCAGATGTGGGTGCTGGGACTCAACTCTGACCCTATGAACAAGCAAGTACTCTTCTTTGTGGGGCGTGGCTCAAGACAGAGTTTCTCTGTCTGGACCTGACTGTCCTGGGGAAATACCTTTGCAGACCAGGCTGGCCTTGAACTTGGAGATCCGCCTGCCTATGCCTCCTAAGTGCTGGGTTAAAGGCGTTCACAAGTACTTTTTCTTTTTTTGGTTTTTTGAGACAGGGTTTTTCTGTAGGTTTGGCGTCTGTCCTGGAACTCATTCTGTAGACCAGACTGGTCAAAATCACAGATATCCACCTTTCTCTCCCTCCCAAGTGCTGGGATTAAAGTCATGAGCCACCACCGCCCGGCTTTCACAATAATACTTTTAACCATTGCCAGTTCTATACTTTTTCTTTCAATTTACAAAAACCTATGTGTATGGATGTTTCACCTGAATGTATTATGTCTGTATACCACTTGTCTGCCAGTGCCTGCAGAAGGCATCAGATCTTTTAGGATTAGAGTTACAGCCAGTTGTAAACCACTATGTGGGCACTGGGAACTGAACAAAGGTTCTCCGAAAGAGACATCAGTGCTCACCAAACTATCCCTCCAGCCCTTCTGTATTTTTAAATAGTGTAAAAAATCAGTACCAGAATTCTGGATGGTGATGGTGCACACCTTTAATTCCAGCACTCAGGAAGCAGAGGCAGGTGGATTTCTGTGAGTTCAAGACCAGCCTGGTCTACAGAACTAGTTTCAGGACACGTAGGGCTGTTACACAAAGAAAACCTGTCTCAAAAAACAAAACACAAAATCAGTACCAGAGACAGATTAATAGTATTAAGAATCCTTTCCCTTTATGGAACATCAAGAATTCTTATAATAACTCTATTAAGATAGATTTTGTTTGTATTCCCATTTTGCAGAGGGAACAGAAAATTTTTTTTCAGAGACATAAAGACCCTTGTGTTCAGCCAGGCAGTTCAGGGTTCATCAACTTCCTTTAATTTGAAGGATCTTGAAGAAAGTGAATGGGCAAAGGCAAGAGGAATCCTTCTAAGACCTCAGCCAGCTGACTCTGGAAGCAGTGTGGACCACAGTGCCCACGGTACTGGGATAAAGGCTGCTAGAACTGCCAAAAGGGTCAGTGAATTGGCCATCATGGCTAGTGAAGGCTCGTATCAACATCAGACATTATTCTCAGCTAGCTCATTGTTACCATAGCACACTGTCCCCCATGGGGAGAGTGTGAATGCAGTACCCCTCTATCACAAATTATGCAGTCAAGTTTCCTGAATTTGGGGAAATAGCAGGGGTCAGTATATCCAGAGTGCAATGGATAAGCCTCGCCTTGGAAAACCAACATCTTTGTGACCGTGGTATCTCCCTAGGTAATTCAATATAAGTATATACATTTCCCTCCCCCCCCCCTTTTTTTGTTATTTTTCGAGACAGGGTTTCAATACATGAAACTCTGCCTCAAAAATATGTCATTATGCCAGGCATGGTATCACACACCTCTAATCCCAGCACTCAGGAGGCAAGCAGACCTCTGTGAGTTCAAAGACAGCCTAATCTACAGTGAGCCTGTCAAACAATTGCCATTATTTTAAAATGTGTACATACATTTCCTTTTCATTATTGTTATTTTAAAATATTTTTAATGGTTTATTTTTATTTATGTATGTATGAGGGCATCAGATACTTTGGTGTTACAGATGGTTGTGAGCTGCCATATGGGTGCAGGGAATTGAACCTGGGTCCTCTGGAAGAGCAGATAGTGCTCTTAACCATTGGACCATCTCTCCAGTCCCAAATATCATTATTTTTAAGACAGGATTTCACTGTGTAACCCTTGGCTAGCCTGTAACTTATTATGTAGTCTAAGTTGTCCTTGAACTCAGAGATCTACCTGCCTCTGACTCCTGAGGGTTGGGATTAAAGGAGTGTGCTGCCATGCCTAGATTATGCTTAAGTATGCGTGAGGCTGCATGTGGGTGTGTAGACATAACTGCAGGTACCTGTAGAGGCCAGAGGGAGTATATCCTCCAGGAGCTTGAAGTAACTGTGAGCTTCTGATGTGGGTGCTGGGAACCCATCTTAGGGGCGATGGAAAGGCAGAAAATGCTCTTAATCACTGAGTCATTCGCTAGCTCCTAGTTTTCTTTTTCTTTCTTAATTTTAAAAATTATTTTATGTGAAAATATGTTCCCTCCATGTATGTGTGTACAACACCTGTGTACAGTGCTCTCAGAGACCAGAAGAGTGTGTCAGATTCTTTGGGACTGGAGTAAAAATAGTTGTGAATGACTGGATGGGTGCTGAGAACTGAACTCAGGTCCTTTAAAAGAGTAGGCAATATTCTTAACCTCTGAGCATATTTCCGGCCCTCTGTTTTCTTTCTAAAAGTAGATTGGATCAGGTGTGGTGGTGCACGCCTTTAATCTAAGCACTTGGAAGGCAGAGGGGAGGCAGACAGATCTCTGTGAGTTTGAGGCCAGCCTGGTCTACAGATGGAATTCCTGAACAACTAGAGTTACACAGAGAAACCCTGTCTTGAGAAACAAACAAACAAACAAACAAAAAGTAGATTGGTAGCTGGTGATTGGTCAGCAAGTAAAGGCATTTGGCCCCAAGCCTAGTTTGATCCATGGAGTTCACACTGTGAAAGAAGAAAAGATTCCTCCTGCAAACAGTCCTCTAATGTCCACACAGGCACCATGGCTTTTACAGTCACCCCAAGAAGTGTAGAAAAAAATTAAAACTGTATAGATCAATTAATAAAATGCTTTTCTTGAAGCTGGGTGGTGGTGGTGCACGCCTTTAATCCCAGCACTTGGGAGGCAGAGGCAGGTGGATCTCTGTAAATTGAAGGCCAGTCTGGTCCACTGCTGTAGGATAATGCTTTGTATGTTGTAAAGATTTGTCACTCATATTGGTTTAATAAAATGCTGACTGGTCAGTAGCCAGGCAGGAAGTATAGGCAGGGCAACCAGATGAGGAGAATCCCTGGAAGAGGAAAAGATGCAGTCACCAGCCAGACACAGAGGAAGCAAGATAAGAATGTCTTACTGAGAAAAGGTACCAAGCCACGTGGCTAAACATGGACAAGAATTATTTAAGTTATAATAGCTAGTTAATAATAAGCCTGAGCTAGCAAGCCAAACAGTTTATAATTAATATAAGCCTCTGTGTGTTTCTTTGGGACTGAATGGTTGTAGGACCAGGTGGGACAGAAAATTTCATCTACAGTCTATAGAGCTAGTTCCAGGACAGCTAGGGCTGTTACACTAAGAAACCCTGGGCATAGGGCCAGAAAGATGGTTCATGGGGAAAAGGGTGTTTGCTACCAAACCTGATTACCTGACTTCATTTCTGGAGATCCACATACTGGAGGGAGAGAACTGACTCCCATAAGTTAGTTTTGCTCTGACCTCCACATGGATACAAAATAAAATAAATGTGATTAAAAAAAAAGGTTAGGTGAGGCAGGTATGGTGGTACGCACCTTTAATCCCAGCACTTGGGAGGCAGTCAGTCAAATCTCTGTGAGTTCCAAGCCAGCCGGACTACATAGAGAAATCTGTGTCAACAAATAAAAAGGTAGAGGGCAATAAAAGACACCTGACTTTGACTTCTAGGACAGCCTCCACAGGTCTGCACACATGAGACCCCAAAGGAGAAATGAATGTAGGTGAGATCCTGCAATATGGACAATGTGCAAAACTTAAAGAAGTCTGATTAAATAGAAACTTCAGTTCATAATAGCATTGTTTTGATGAGTCAGTTTTATTACACCAATGTGAGAGGCTCACTGTAGTGTGAACTGAGTGTGCTGAGTTTGAGAACTTTCCACATTTTTCTTTGCAATCGTCCAATAAACCTAAAAGTGTTGTAAATTGAGGATTTGAGGCCGGAGAGATGGATCAGTGGTTAAGAACACTGGCTGGCTGCTCTTTCAGAGGACCCAGGTTTGTTTCCCAGCACCCATACGGCAGCTACAACAATTTCTAATTCCAGTCCAAAGCCCTCTCTGACCTTTGTGGGCACCAGGCACAAATGTAGTGCACAGACACACACGCAGGTAAAATACTCATAAAGTAATAAAAACTTATAAATCAAAATACTGGGTATGGTGGTGCATACCTTTAATTTCAGCACTTGTGAGGTCTGAGTGAGTTCCAGGCTAGCCAGAGCTACTTAGTGAAACACTGTCTCAAAAAGAAAGAGAGAGAGAGAGAGAGAGAGAGAGAGAGAGAGAGAGAGAGAGAGAAAAGATATACAGCTAGGAGGTGGTGGTGCACTCCTTTATTCCAGCACTAGGGAGGCAGAAGCATGCAGTGGATCTCTGTGAATTCAAAGTCAGCCTGGTCTAGAGTTCCTTTCTTTTTTTTTTTTTTTTATTTATTATATATACACTTTAGTGCCAGATCTCATTACAGATGGTTTTGAACCACCATGTGGGTGCTAGGAATTGAACTCAGGACCTCTGGAAGAGCAGTCAGTGCTCCCAACCTTTGAGCCATCTCTCCAGCCCTAGAGTTCCTTTCTTAAAAAAGAAAAAAAAGATAAAATAAATTCAAAGTAAGTTTTTTAAAAATTTATTATAGTGTTCTGCCTGCATGTATGCCTGCAGGCCAGAAGAGGGCGCCATATCTCATTACAGATGGATGTGAGTCAGTGAATTTAGAGTGTGCAGCCGGTCCTCTTAACTGTTCTGAGACATCTCTCCAGCCCGAGACAGGGTTTCTCTGTAGTTTTTTTTTTTTTTAAGCCTGTCCTGGAACTAGCTCTTGTATTGTAGACCAGGCTGGCCTCGAACTGACCTGACAGAGATCCTCCTGCCTCTGCCTCCCGAGAGCTGGGATTAAAGGCGTGTGCCACCACCGCTCTAAGGAAGTTTTTATTTACTTATTGTGTGTGTGTGTGTGTGTGTGTGCTATGATGTCTGTTCAGAAGTCAGATTGTCAGAATTGGTTCTATTCTTCTATCGTGTGGTTTCTGAGGACAAAGGCTTGGTGGCAAGCCCCTTTACTCATAGACCCATCTCACCAACTCTGTCTCTTTCTTTTGACAGAGTTGCTAGAGATCAAGCCATGCTATGAAAGCACTAACTTGCTAAGAACTTGGCTTTTTTCCTATGTGTGTGTGTATTCATTCCCTCTGCCTCCATGGCTGCTGGTTTAAATAAACTGCATCTCCTGTTGGTAGCCTGTCCTATTCACCCTTATTACCATGTTGTAATGTAAGGATGGAACCAAATGAGGGTTTGACATGTGTTAGGTAGACCAGCACTCTAACACAGCCTGCACTGTCAGTTTAGAAAACTTTTCAAAAGGCATTCTTCGTTTCTGGTTTCCTTAAGTCATACAAAGTCTCTGAACCTTAATTTGCCTATTTTTCTAGCACTGGGACTTGAACTCAGGACCTAATGAATGCTAGGCACTCTACCACTGAGCTCCATTTACCCATGTTGAAATAGTGAAATTATGGCTGGAGAGTTGGCTCAGGGACTAAAGCACTTGTCCATTTTGCAAATGACCCAGCTTCACCACCTTCTTGAGCACCAGGCATATATGTGTTGCACAGTCCTACATGCAGACAAAACACTCATACACATAAAATAATAAAAATAAGCTGGGCGGTGGTGGTGCATGCCTTTAATTCCGGTACTTGGGAGGCAGAGACAGGTGGATCTCTGTGAGTTCGAGGCCAGACTGGTCTACAAAAGCTAGTTCCAGGACAGGCTCTAAAGCTACAGAGAAACCCGGTCTCGAAAAACCAATAAATAATGATAATAATAAACAAAAAATGGTGAAATTACTCTCTCTCTCTCTCTCTCTCTATCATGTAGAGGGAAACCATAATAGCTAAGTACTCTACTAATGAGCTACATCACTACTATATTTCTGGTTTATTTGTTTTGAGACAAGAATCTCATAAAGCCCAGGTTAGCTTTATGCTCAACTATATAACCAAGATTGACTTTGAACTTTTGTTTTTGATACAGGACCTCACCTATTTAGGCCTGGCTGGCCCACATCCTGCTCTATAGACCATGCTGGCTTCAAATTCACAGAGGTCTACTTGCCTCTGCCTCCAGAGTGCTGGAATTAAAGGCCTTACCACTTGTGGCAGAATTCCTGCTGGGTTGCACCTGGCCAGGTGCCAGGGTGCTAGCAACTAACCCCAATCCCCGCTGAACTACACCTGGCCCAGTTCAGGAGTATATGCACCTAGCCCTAATCCATCCTTTGTTTAGTAGATACCTTTTGTTGCCCTATGTGAATCTTGTCTGATATTTTCCCAAGGATACAAAGCCTATGCAAAATTTGGTTCAGGGAAATCCAGAAAACCATGTGACCTGATGCATCGAGAATTTAAACTTGGCACTGTATT